ATGGCAAACCACTTTTGGATCATCTGCCAAGAACGTATATGAACAGGTCCCAGTCCGAGAAAAGGATGGAAGGATCCTGTTCATATGGACCTGTCGTCAGACAGAACACTAAATAAATAAAAAAATATATCGCATTGGAAGTACACCATTTATAGCGTTTGTTTTTAAAGTAAGTTAAGTGAAAAATTCTCATGTGAAAGGGTACTACACATTTTGCATCGTGCGCCAGGTATTAAAGGGCCCTTAGTGTTCAAATCTCATTGAACGTGTAGTGAATTTAGAAATCCAGGATATAAAATTGTTATCTTTGTGAGATGTTTGAATATGCCTACACAGTTGTTACCCAAATGAAATGCATCTTCGCAAATATTTTACGTACATTCGCAGTCACGAGGCATGATCGTGAAGTCTGTGTCCTTAGCTGTGACGATCTCACGAGTACAAAGCAAGTCAGCGGTCATTCCGTCGGTCAGCTGAATAACATGACGTGATTTGTGTTCTTGTCTTACCGCATTCTCTCATGAAGAAAACAGTACCATTAAAAAAGAAGGAAATTTAACAAGTTCTGACAGGAGAGGTCCCAGCAGACACGATGTAATGCAAGTGCACATCTGCAAAGCCGAGGATTGGTCTTTCTTCAGTGTTAGGTCGAGAGGGGGAGGTCCATAAGATACAGGGAAGAACGTGTATTATGGAACCCATTTTGTTTTCTTTGTTTTTTTAGGAGCTTCAGGTTTCATCAAATCTGACATATGAACGGTTAGAAAATTTATCTATCAGAAAAGCTGAATAATTTTCCACATTCGATGCTGTTAATTCATGAAATCCTAAATTGTACATATTATTATTATTATTATTTTCAATTCTTCAATTTAAAATAGATAATTAAATTGAATTACGTATGTCCTATAAAACTCACATATTCCGCGTACAGATTCCGCTGAATACCTTTCCTGACTCTAAACTTTATTTCAGTCAAAATGCTGATCATCTATTCTCTCTTACCATAAAGCTGTTTACCAACTACAACATTTTCTTTAAATAGCCTTACGATGCTTTACAGGGCCCTAGTTACGCAGACAGATGCAAACTAGGATATGCTTATGTTGTTTAAAACTTACCAACACTGAATGGAACAAACTTGAAAGTATTCTGAAGAGGTTTGCTGTCTTATGTCGTAACAGATTATTTAAAAATCATAATGCACACAGTTACAACTATTCTTTGGAAAACTTAAAATTACACACATTATTTCGAGACAAATTTACTTTAAGGTAGTCTGTTATTTATAAGTTACGTTTATAAAAGTTATTTTACCTGTTTTTAAAAAGTGCTGGCATTATTTAACAATATAATTCATGTTAATATTTTTGACAATACATTTTAACATAAAATATATCAATGGTAATTATAGTATTTTGCTACCTTCAGCATTATTTTTAACCAGTAATTGTGTTTATTTATATGCATATATTGTTTTATTTTATGTACTTTGTGTTCTGTAATTGGCTGGTGAGTTAGCGAGTTAAAATAAAGAATTTAATTAAATTAAAATTCCTATTACGGTAACAAAATAAAAAATATATGACAAGAAAGGATTACGTGGCAAACATGGAGGAGATAAGAAAACTATACAAAATTTTAGTCGAAACATGTGCAGGAAAGAGGTACTTGCTAGACCTAGACATAGATGGGAGAGTGGCTGAAATTAATTTTAAAGACACGCGATGTTTAAGTCTGGACCAAATTAAAATGTCTTAGGAAAGAATTCAGTAGCAGGCTGTTCTGAATACGCTAATGAACCTTCGAGTCCCATAGACCATGTGGAATATCCCGAGGGCTAAGCTACACTCCCAATGTCTCAAGAAGGATTCTACTCCATGGAGATGTTTGTTTGAGAAGTTTCAGGATCCTGTCCAACAGAAAGCATTGAGGAAGACTATGTAAGAATTGTTAAGGCGTCCATGGTAGAAACAGGTATTCTTTGTGATTACCTCACTGGCCTTGGCATTTTTTATTACACATACAACCAACGTAGCAAAGCCAGTCCCAGTTTTCGTAATCTTCTACGAAATAATTGTTACTTTTCCTTTTATTATATTGCATATAAATATCATCGAAAAACATATGAAGTAATAAATTTAAGACTGGGCGAGATTCGTGTATTATGTCATGAACCAATTTTGAGAAATATGATAAATTTATAATTCAGTTCTGTGTAGGAACATAGAGTGAACCTCAAAAACCATTTAATTGGAGCGTAGAAGAATCAAAACTTAAAATATCTTGAGAGCTTGGTAAGTTACGTTAAGAATTTAAAGTTAGTTAAAAAACGAACATAACCAGAGTTTTAGAAAAGTTAAAACAACATAAGAAATCACTCAAAGTTTAATATGTGGCCTCGCGTTCTATGTAGATACAGGCCTTCAGATTAGCCAATCCCCCATTCAAAGGACCTACAAGGTGTCTAAAAACGGATTAATATAATCAGAAGTTAATTCTGAATTGGAACAGACCGGAGGGACTAATCAATAAACTTTTTAAACAACGAAGGAAAAAACATCAAACTGGTTTCAGTAACAATATTTTTCTTGTCACAATTCTATTTTTAATTTTTTTTACAAAAAAAGAATTTACATTTGAACGTAAGACCAATAATATGCATAACACATATAAAAGTGAAAGTTGAAAAGTGGGGGTTGACTTCTAAAATATTGTTTAGTGATTATGGCTTGCAAACCGAAACGTATATACTGCGTATTTATGTAATAAATTATATCAGAGAACACCAAGTGACGCATTGAAATAAAACAGTGTCCATATTCTTGTCATCAGAATAACCCTGAATAAGTCCTTAACAACTTATCGGTCGTTATTCTGCCAGCAAGAAAGTTCGTATTATGGCAACCAATATTCCATACAGATTCCCGCCACTGGACCTCATTCTAAATCATCGAATTGAACTTCACATCAAGAAGATAATATCTTCTGGGGTGCTACATCGTGTAATCTGATATAAGTTTACTGGCGTTTCACAGATGGTCACTGTCTTCATCATCATGGCGATGAGTGCATTGATGATGGAGTCAACAACTACCTCCGAAACGTCAGTTGCCATATACTAGGCTACACGTTGCAACACCCCAGAATACAGCCATCTTCATATTCGTCGGTGTGAGAACCTGAAATCTCGCCAATTTAACATCTCAATGATCCACGTGTTTCCTAAGTGCCTTCCAAAAATCATTTATTTCGTCTGACTGCAAGCATTCGTAGCCTTCATCTGTTTCCTTCGACCAATCAAAGCTGTCCTTCACACAAAATTGGTAAATATCAGTCTGTCCTCTAGAAAACCAGACACGTCAGGGTAAGGTGGCCTCTTGTGATATATTTATTATTATTATTATTATTTAGTGTTCTGTCTGACGACAGGTCCATATGAACAGGATCCTTCCATCCTTTTCTCGGACTGGGACCTGTTCATATACGTTCTTGGCAGAGA